AATTTTAATTGAATTAGTCATTCCATTGTTAGTTGGAAAATTGACATTTACATGAATGTTTTATTTTGTATAATCTTGCCTCACATAATTTATTACATTTACTTTATTGCCATTTGATATTTTATGATTGTCATTTTCATTGAATGTCCCATAACTAATATTCATGTTTTGTCAAACACTCATTATTTGCTCAGAAATTAAACCTGCCCCTATTACAAAGCTGGTGATGGATACTTTGCCTTGATTGGTTGTTTATGGGTTTCCTAGGATGATCTCAAAGACAAGGGGTCAGTAAGTAAGATATTAATAAACTTAAGTGTTTAGAGCTGTCTTTTGGACTGATGTCAAATTTTCATGAAGAAATTATGTTCCTAACTCTCTCCTCTATAAAGGTCTCTGTTGCTGTCTGGAATAGAATGGTTGCTAAGTGCCTGTATTATATGCTGTTGTTGTTGTTGTTATGTGCTGTCGAGTTGGACCTGACTCATAGTGACCCCTCCTTGGGTTTCCGAGGCAGTATCACTATGGAAGTAGATTGCCCCATTTTCCTTCCGAGGAGTGGCTAGTGGGTTTGAACCGCCAGCCTTCAGGTTAGCAGTCAAATGGCTTAGCCACTATGCTACCAGAGCTCCCAAGTAATATGATTGATTGTCAGTAATTTTTTTATTTTCTGTTATTTGCAACTTCTTATTTTCAACATGCCTTGCTAGTTCCTTGAAAAGTATAAAACAACAATGCAACTTATAAACAAAAGGAGATAGGATAGGAGTTTGTTGGATACTGGGAATACATCAATTCCCTAGAAAATTTCTGGTTCCCACCATTAATGATTCTGATTTGGTAGGTCTAGTGTAGGGTCGCTATGAGTCAGGTCTGACTCGACGGCATATAACAACAACAACAAGTGTAGGGTCCAGGAATCCAAGAATGTGAAATTTTAATAAACATCTAAAGTGATATTGTAACTCTGACCCAGACTCTGAGAACTTTAGGTATGTGAGCCCACTCTGATTGAGATTCTGTATTATACCACAGCATTTGATGTCCTATAAAACTGGAGAGCAGTAATTTTTTTCGTTCTCCAATGGATAGAAATTTAATAGGCATAGAATTGGATTAAGATTCCTTCCTGGCCCCATTGTTTCAAATAGAGGCAACACAAATATGTTGGGAAGAACCCTGAGAAACCTGGATTCAAATATTGGTATACCATAATTACCTATTTATTCAACAACAGGCAGATAATTGAACTTCTCTGAGTGTCAGCCTGCCTCTTCCCTTTTCCTCACACCTGCCTTGCCCCATTTTATAAGTCAGAATAATACCTAAACAAATAGTACACAAATGTGACGAAGAGGTAGTTGGTAATGATTAAATTAGAGTCTGACTCTAAAGCCCCATCCAACTTTTTTTGTGGTCAGTGTGTATTTACGTATAAAACTGTTAATTTGTTCATTTTTCCCTTCTTTCTTTCTTTTACTAGTAGATGTCCCTTTCTCGGTAGCTCCTTCATTTTAACTCTCCTGTCTCTTCAAGTTTGTTCTGTGAGATCCTTCCCATCACTTCTCAGGGCCTTCCCTCTCTTCTTTGCTCTGATCTAGCTCTCACAACCACCAGTTTTCTTTCTTCTTTGAATTAAGACTGTTGTTGCCTCTCTCCACTAATGACTTCCTTGCTGTTTGAGGGTGGCATCTCTATCTTTGTATTTCCTGTAGAATTTTGCATGCAAAGTTAGTCTTTAATACATATGTACAAATGAACTTCAAATCATTGATTTTGTATTGGTCAACAAATAATAGGTAATAAGAGATAATAGATGGAAGAGGGGAAATAAGAGCTTAAATGGGCTTTTTTTCCCTTTTATTTTTCTAACAAAAGACTGTTTAATGCTCATTGCTTCTTCTATATCACCTCTAATTTCTCATTACCTCTAGTTTTTCTGGTTTTTTATTTTGTCTTAAATCTAAATCCATATCCTGTAGCTTGAAATGGGAAAGATTTTTGCATATGTTACTTGGTTATAGCTCCTACTACTTGGTTAATATGATTTCTTAGTGTCTGTTTATTGTAACAAAATCTCACTGATATACATGTTTCATGGAGTTGATTGAAGTGGAACTTTACCTGTAACTTTATCTTCGCTTCCTTATATCCTTTTGGGTGTAAGTAAGGATTTTATGATGTTATTTTACCTATTATACCATTAAACCTGAGATGAACATTTAAAAAATGGGTAGTATAAAAATGGCTTGACAGTAGGGTCATCTGATACCCTTTAACTTCACCAGGGAAGAGGAGGAGCAAGACCAACAGCCCAACAGTCCAAGGCTGAGGCAGAGATCAGACATGCTTCCACCCTCCAACCGTTTACCAATTCTGACACCAGCCATTCCTCCCACTGCACTCTCTAACTCTCTTCTGGGATCAATAATTCATTGGAGTGGCCACACAGTGCTTAAAGTCTAGACTCAAGATTTTGGGATTTATTAGGGAAGAAACAGGATACAACTCAGGATCAACTTGGAAGTAACAGGAAGAACTCAGAATACAGTTCTTAATCAGGACAGCTTCTTCTTGGCCCTCTTGCTGGGCCCTGCTTGGGGTCTTGGGCAAGTGTTACAGCTCTTAGCTGCATGGTTCAGAGAGCCCAGGTCCGTCAAGTGCTCAAAGGTACCCCACTTTGCCTGAAGGTGGTAAGCTTTCTCAGTCTGTCGGACAGGAAGCCCACTGCACTGTTTCCTGTCAGTCTTTTGGTTCTGCTCTCTCTGCTGCCACTGCTGCTGCTGCTGCTGCTTTTTTTTTTTTTTTTAATTGTGATTTGTGTGAAAGTTTATAGAGCAAATTCACTTTCCAGACAGCAGTTCACATACACTTTGTCTCATGACATTGACACAATTTACCCCAATACAACAGCTCCCCTCCCACTTCCTCCCCATAGTTACCTCTTCCCTGTGTCTATCCCTCCATGCACTCCTGCCCCCTGAGCTGTCACCCTGTGCATAAACAGCCCTTCTTTCTCCCATGATTGTTCTCTTCAAGGAGTGTATCTACCTCAGGTAAATGTTCAGCTCATATGCCTGTCTTTTGTTTGGCTGGAAGCCACAGGAGTGGATTCAATTCCAGACCTGAAGGGCATCTAGGGGCTATAGTCTCAGTGGTTCTACCAGGCTCTATCAGACCAGCAAACCTGGTCCCCACCTTTTTTTCCCCCCCAAATGATTTTGAGTTTTGTTCCACATTGTTCTCCCTGTCTATCCAGGATCTCCTCCACATATCCCCCTCCAAGTGGTTGACAGTGGTAGCCGGGCACCATCTATTTCTTCTGGTCATTCTTCTTTGCTCTGGACGAGGAGAGACCCATCATTGCATGTAGATGGCTGCTTGCAAGCTTTTAAGATCCCAGTTGCCACTTGCCAAAGTAGGAGGTGGAACATTGTTACAAGGTGTAGTATGTTATGCCAATTGAGCTTGATGTCCCCTGTGACTATGGTCCCGACCCCACAGGTTCAACTACTCACTCCTTCTGGGTAGCTGGTTGTGCCATTACTGCTTCTTGCCATTGTCTCTTGCTATCTTCCGTGTTACTTCTCTCTGTCTCCTGAGTCTAGGAAGTTCCCATCAAAATTTCCCAGCTTCAGGGACCCTGGGTCCAAAGGATGCGACTTATTCTGAGCTCTTCTTTTTTCATGGCTGTGAAGTTGCCCCTCTTCTTGGGAATTGGCTCTCTTTTAAGCCTAGCAAGGTGGCAAAATGACCAGTCCTCTCTTTAGTGTTCCATACACCTTACTTGCATGGAGCTTTGGTGGCGTAGTGCCTAAGGCAGTTGATTGCTAACCAGAAGGCTATGGTGCAAATCCACCAGCCACTCTTTGGAAGGAAGACTGGGCAATCTACATCTGTAGAGATAACATCTCAGAAACCCAAGGAGGAGGGGTCACTATGAGTTGGAATTGACTCATGGCAGTGAGTTTTTTTGTTTGTTTGTTACACACATGGGTGCTGTGCACTTTGCATTATTAGCATATCCAGTTCCCTTGGTGGATCACAAGCACCTTATTTGATTAGTACCACCCAGTCTTCTGGTGGGAGTGTTAGAAGACTGTGGCTCCAAAAAACACTCTCTACAATTGAATCCATTCAGACTCATAGTGATCCCCATTGGGTTTCTGAGGCTGTAAATCTTTACAGAAGCAGACTGCCTCATCTGTCTTCCATAGAGCAGCTATTAGGTTAGAACTATCAACGTTTTGGTTAGCAGTTAAATGCCTTAACCACTACACCACCAGAGCTCCTTATGACTATGACTAGAAAGGCTTTGTTAAGTAATTCATTGTACCAGGGCAGATATATATTTGTTTTACTTTGTTTTTTTAGCTACAATTATAGATTCACATGCAAGCATAAAAAATAATAGCTCTTTTGCCCAGTTTTCCCCAGTGGTAACATTTTACAAAGCAGTAGTGTAGAAAATTGACATTGATGTGATCCACTGGTCTTACTCATATTTCCTCAATTTTACTTGTAGTAATTTGTCTGTGTATATGTATGTTGAATTGTAAACAATTTAATCTCCTGTATATGTTTGAGTATATGACACCATAGTCAAGACGCTGAAATTTTCAATACCACAAATGTCTCTAATCTTTTGTATTATAACAACACCTGCCTCTCTGCAGCCCCTTCGTCCCCTCTCCTTTGCTCCTAACCCCTAGTAACTACCAACATTTGCTCTAGTGCTAAAGTTCGTTATTTTAAAAATGTTATATAAATGAAATCATGTATCTGTAACCTTTGGGGATTAGCTTTTTTCATTCAGCATAATTCCCTGGGAATTTTTCCAAGTTATACGTATCAATAGCCTGTCCCTTTCTATTGCTTATTTATTCTCTATATTTAAGCTAGAACTTCTACATAACTTAAAACTCAATATGTGCCTCTGTTTCCTTCTTAATCTTTTATATATATATAAATTTTTTTTTTTTTTTTTGTCTTAAATCTAGGTGACAAAACACGACCACCTTCTTCAAGCCCTTCTAGTATTATCCGCCGTACTTCCTCTTTGGATACACTTGCTGCTCCATACCTTGCAGGGCACTGGCCTCGTGATAGTCATGGGCAAGCTGCACCTTGCATGAGGGACAAAGCTACACAGGTAGACTCATTACAGTTCTTATCTTGACATGTTTTACTCTGAAACTGTTTCTCACAATATAACTTGTTCTGCTCTGTGATCAAATTCCTAAAACGTGTGTGTTCTAGAATTACCTGAGAAGCTTATTAAAGGTACACATTCCTAGGCCTGACTTCCAGATATTCTGTATTAGGGTCTGTAGTGGGGGTAGAGAATGTGCATTTGAAATAGTTCCTAAAGTAATTCTGATATATACAGATGATTTACACACATACTTTTTTCCCCTCATTGTTCTTTACAGTGAATTTAGAACATAAGATAAATTTAATACATGGAATTTGATCTGAAAAATCTGTAACATTAGCATTACTTTACTCTCCATGTAACTTTATACTTTTATGTCAATAATCTTCATGTGTTGGGAGATGGTACCTATAAAAGTGTGAATTATATTGCATTGATGATAGATTCTGTAAATGTAAATATCCTACCAAAGGTACTCTGGAAGATAAGTTTTTATTACCTGCATGTTTATAAAATTTGTTCATTAAAAAGGTCTTAAAGATCATATAAGATTTTATAAGTGAAGAAACTGAGGTCCAAGATCATATAGCCAGTTGGTTACTCCATATTAATTTGGTATACTTTCCTTCATAGCACTTAGCACAATTACACTTAAATATTTGTGTCATCATTTATTTAATATTTCTCATACTCATTAGACTGATTGCCGTGAAGACAAAGTCTGTGTCTGGCTTGTCCATTGCTAGTATTTCCAACTCTAGGACTCAGTACTGTGCCTAACATAGAATAAGTACTCAAGGAATATTTACAAAGAAGTGTAAGTAATAATAACAATATAATATATATAACATAATACAGATATATATATAATAATATAAATATAAATACAAAATATTTACAAAAAATTGCTTGAGTGGAACAGTTACAGCCTTATTGCTAATGAAGAATGAATGAAAATCATTTAGATTTTAAAAGATTATTTACACTGATTGTTAAAAATCAGCTAAGGTACATTTCAATTTAGACTTCAGATTTATATCACTGATGGTTGCTTGATCCCAGCATTTTATGAGAGAATACATTTTTATGGAGCCAGTGCACTCAATGCACTTCAAGGTAGGTTTTTGGATTTGCATGCTGGTTTCCAGGATTCTAAGTGTTCTTTATGGACATAGCTTGCTAGCTGTGTTTGCTATTCTGATACTCTTAAAAGTGAGCCCCCTGTTATGTTACAATAGAAGTTTGTGATTTGAGATTACCTTGAGGTTTATAGTAATGACAACTACAGAAACTTAAATGCGTACTCTGGACTCATCAAAAGTAATTAGTTTTTGCCTGAAGTTGTTATATTTTTTAGCCCGACTTCTACTGAACTCTGAAATTGATTGAAATCTGTAAGTTTGCTGAGTTTAGGAGAGTGTAGTAATGGAAACCATCACATGTCTGTCAGTTAGTTGTATTGCTGTGGCTTGAATGTTGCTGTGATACTGGAACTGTGTTTACCAGTATTTCAGATACCAGCAGATCACTCATGGTAGATAGGTTTCAGTGGAGCTTCCAGGCTAAGACAGACTAGGAAGAAAGATCTGGAGATAGACTTTTCAAAAAATTGGCCAGAGAAAACTTTATGAATAGCAGCAGAACATTGTCTGATACAGTGCTGGACGGTGAGCCCTTTCGGTTGGAAGGCACTCAAAATAATGCTGGTGAAGACCTGCCTCTTCGAGGGAGAAAGGGGAAGTTTTTGTTTGCAGGGCATTGAGTTTATGCTGTTGGTAGTGGAATATTTTAGAAAAGAATAGCAATAATGGTGGCATAACATGAAAAATGTCATCAGTGTCCCTGAGCTGTAAGTATGGAAGTTTTTATGTTGGTGAATGTCTTGTGTATGTTTTCACCACAGTAAAAGTGGGGAGAGGAAAAAAAAAAAAAAGAAAGAGCTACCTCGTAGAGATGACCTTAATGACATGGATGGAATAAAGCTTTCGAGACCTTTATTTGCTGATGTGGCATGATTCAAAGTGAGAAGAAACTGCTGGAAACATCTGTTAAGAATCAGAAAGTTGAATGTATAACTTAAGAATCTGGGATAATTGGAAGTTGTCAAAAATGAAATAGAATGCACAAAGATTGATATCATACGCATCAGTGATATTGGATATTTTGAATCAGACAATCACGAGGTCTACTATGCTGAGAATAACAAAGCAGAACGGTGTTGCATTCATCATCAAGAAGAACATTTCAAGATCTCTCCTGAATTAATAGGATAATATCCGTACATCTATAAGAAAGACCAAGTCAGCCCCAGGGTTACAGGTGAGGAGAGACAACTCAGGGACGCCTGAAGTAGCAAGCGGGAAGAGCAGGAGAAAGGGGATAAAAAGCCAGGAACCCGGACAGAAGAGCAGTCAGCCCAGGGTTACAGGTGAGGAGAGACAACTCAGGGACACCTGAAGTAGCAAGCGGGAAGAACAGGAGAAAAGGGATTAAAAGCCAGGAAGCCAGAGAGAAGAGCAGTCAGCCGAAGGGTGTAGGTGAGGAGAGGCAACTCAGGCCCGCCCAGAGTAGCAGGCTGGAAGAGCAGGAGAAAGGGGATAAAAAGCCAGGAACCCGGACATAAGAGCAGTCAGCCCCAGGGTTACAGGTGAGGAGAGACAACTCAGGGACGCCCGAAGTAGCTAGCGGGAAGGACAGGAGGAAGGGGATAAAAAGCCAGGAACCCGGACAGAAGAGCAGTCAGCCCCAGAGTTACAGGTGAGGAGAAACAACTCAGGGCCGCCCAAAGTAGCAAGCGGGAAGAGCAGGAGAAAGGGGATTAAAAGCCAGGAAGCCAGAGAGAAGAGCAGTCAGCCGAAGGGATTAGGTGAATAGAAGAAACTGAGGCCCGCCCAGAGTAGCAGGCTGGAAGAGCAGGAGATAGAGGATAAAAGCCAGGAACCTGGACAGAAGAGCAGTCAGCCCCAGGGTTACAGGTGAGGAGAGACAACTCAGTTACGCCCAAAGTAGCCAGTGGGAAGAGCAGGAGAAAGGGAATTAAAAGCCAGAAAGCCTGAGAGAAGAGCAGTCAGCCAGAGGGATTCGTTGAGGAGAGGAAACTCAGGCCCACCCAAAGCAGCAGGACGAGAGAGCAGGAGAAAGGGGATAAAAGCCCGGATCCCGGACAGAGGAGCAGTCAGCCCCAGGGACAACTCAGGGA